ATGCGGTGAAATCCAAAAACTCGGTCAAAAGCAGACGAGGGCTTTTGCTTTTCTTTTTTGGACAGCTTTTGTAAATCGTCGCTTGGGTTTAGGGAAGGAGGAGGAGAAGGGTCAATCAATCAGTCATTCAGTCAGTCGGACAGACGGTCGATTGACAGCGGCCTCTGGTGGCTTTTCACGCGAGAACAGCGCGGGCGCGAACGGCGTGCACTCCCGAGAGGCGTTCGAGAAGCGAAAAAGCACGGCACAGCAACAAACCAAACAAAAACTGCACAAATACGTACCTCCCAGGATGTATTTCGCGGTCTCCAGAAACGTCCGTAAGGCTACGTTTCCACAATGAGCCTGGGTTGGTTTTAGAGCATTTTGAGGGATGTAAATAAAAACAACGGTCCCAACGTATTTCCTGTATTATTTTTTAATTTCTATAGCTCCTGAGAATACAAAAAGAGCCACATTTTGATAAATAATGTTATGATAGCTGTTTTAACAATAAGTTATGATTGAGTTGCCTCCTGTTACAGTTATGAAATAGTTTGAGAACAAGCAGGAAATGTTCATGGGCCAATGACATGACCACATTGAAATGGTCTATACTGCCAAATAAACATATAGGAGCCGTTAAATTTGGCCGTCCTTTGGATTAATTTGAGTATTAAGAAACTGCACATGTGTTATTTTACCTTTTATAAGCCCTAGTATTGGGGAATTAGCCTCATAGCTAAGAATAGATGATTGAATTATTTTCTTGAAAGCAAAGACTGCTGGTAAGATGGATATGCGATGTGGTCCACTCTAAACACACAGCCCACACACACTTTTGGGGGAGTTTTGTACGCCTCTCATGGTAATGGGAAACAAGGAGGCAGGACAAGAGGAGCACATGGACAGCACACACACACTCAAAAAAGACAGAGCCATGTGGTCAAGCACAAAACTGGCCAATATATAATAGATACAAAGCTGACAGGATGCTCAGAGCAGACCTCTGAAAGTTTGGACAATATTCATCCACTTTCATCATTTCACAAAAGAAAGTTGGACCAACGTTGATGTTATTTATCAGTTTCTTTATGACTTCATCACCTTTATTCCAGCACATGACCTTGATTCTACATCCGCAACTGATTCAAGACACTTTCAGTTTGCTTCATTTCTTTTTTCCTCTCGTGTACAGGCAAGATCAACTTTTCTGCCAGCAGAGTTTGAGGGGCTTTTGTAAAGATGTCAAAACAGATGTGAAACGGTAACCGGATAGTCTAACATTTTTGAGCAAAAGCCTAATTAAAGACAGATAAAAGGAAAAATGGGGCTGTGTTTTATTTAAACATCAACGATTTTTATGTTGAAAGATTTGCAATATAGTTCTAAATGAATGCGGTGCGAGTTGTGTGAAATGGTGTTTCTGTGCTGTTCTGAATCGTGAAAGTAATGCCGAGTTCAGACTGCATGATTTTCAAAGTAGTCGTGTCACAGACGTTTTCACACTGCATGACTATCTGGGCTTGCGTTTCGTCGCTGCTTTGTTTAGACTGCAAGATGGATCGGCGACAGGGGGTTTCACATTGCATGACTTTACTATAGGAAGAATCGCAGACAACTTCGTCCAAACTACGTCTCACAGCCAAAAACACGTTGTATATGTTTTGTTATTAACTGCATAATGAGAAAGAAGCCTTTAATGGGGTAGAACATGTACATGTTTTCTCACCTGGGTTTAAAGGGAATTAGCCATTTCTCCTCAACGTTGCTAATAAACTAATTTCTTTCTGTATGAAACGTCAAACAGACACGGTTGCTCCTGAGTCCTGTCAAACCTCACTAGTTTTTCCTCCATTTCATGGGTCCAAATAAACCGAAAAAGAGCGCTTTTAACTTCTCCCTCAGCCTCCCGCTGGCCTGCAGCAGGTATACACACACGCACACACAAGTGACTGCTGCTCTCTCATTGGCTGTAGGCAATCGCTGATGTTATTTTCAGTCAAAACTCATTTCACACGGCATGATTTAAATCGCTGAAAGCTCCAGATATTGACACGCCAAATATCTCACAGGCATCAGCGACTCATCGGCGATTCTCTCAGATCGCGTCTTTGATAGTTCATACTGTGTGATTGTCACTCACGTGCACGAGCAGCGATTTGCCTGTGATTTCAGGCATTTGTCGGCAATTTCTCCAGACCTGTCGGCGAGCCAAAATCGGGGCTAAAATCCCGCAGTCTGAACTAGGCATTAGTGTGTGTTTTGTAGTTTGGAAGAAAGCAGCATTAACATTTAGTTAAACGTCTTCTGTTGCTTCCAGCAGAATTGAGAAAGACATTTTAATTTAAAACAATAGGGATTGAAAAGATCATGACAGAAAATCCTACGTGAAAAAGAAGAACTGCAATTATTACATACTTACAAGCCAAGAATGCAGCGTTTGTAGCTGTATTTATAAACTATTTACTAACGTTTGTTAATGTAAAGTTAATGCTTAAAGATAATGACTAAACAAACTGCTAATGCTTAATAGATGATTACTGTGTAATTATAAAGTGTTACTCATTTGTCTTTTTATTCCTGCTATAAAGAAACCGTTGTTCAATGTAAAGTGTTCACAGTTTTTTAATAAACCGCACAGTATAGATGCCAGTAAAAAAAACTTTATCTTAAAAGCACAAGCTCATTTTGTTTAGACAAATCACATTTCACCCGCACAACGAGAGTAAATGGATGTGATGACAGCTTTAGGTTTATAAAAGTATTTGAATCACAACTGTTTGGCATGAAACCAGTAATTCATTTCGCCTCAGCAAGTTTAGGCATCACCTGTCACACCTCACAGTGATGCTTTTGGCATTTTGAAAGATAGAGAGATAAGAATCCCTTAAATCAATCGAAAAGAGCTTAAACGTGAACAAACATGAGCCTAATGCCATGGAACCAATCAGGGAAAGTTTTTTTTTTCTTATAAGAAAGCAAAGTCCAGAAAAAACACACTTGTTTTATCACCAAGAGTTTCCTATTAGGCAATTAAACTCATTTAAAGGCTAAATAAAGTGTCTCAATTTTTGATTTGTTTTTGATTGACAAAATCGTGTAACTGATTATGAATATTTGGTACACTGTAAAACCCAAGAAGTTTAGGAAACTCAAACCATGTGAGTTTATATGGTGACCATATAAAATGATTGCAACAAACCATTTAAGTTCAACAACTAAACATAATGAGTACTGTAAACTTAATCCATTTGAGTAAACGAAGCAATTTGAGCTCAGTAAAACTCAATAAATGAAGAGAACTCAAACCAACTGAGTACTGTAAAACCCAATAAGTTAAGGCAACTCAAACTGTTTGAGGAAACCGATTGCTGCAAACCATTTAAGTTAAAAAACTAATCTATATGAGTACTGTGAACTTACTTTAAGTTGAAGTAATAAGGTATTTAATTAACTCATTAACTTCAATACTGAGCTCAAAACTCTTTTCAAATGAATAGAATTAACTTTAAGTCAATTTTGAGTTAACAAAAGTCAAATAAATGAGTCAATCAAATGAGTCATTTCATTTGATAAAGTTGACTGTTGGGTTTTACAATGTAGGTATTGGTTTTTGACTTTACCTAAATGTTTTAGTTCAGCTTAATAATTTCGAGGCAATCAGTTTCCTAATATTTTCCTAGTAATGTGAACACAAAGTGTTTAGCTGACTGTACTTTAAAGAAGTGCCCATTGCCTTAACATTAGTACGGAGCTAATAACATGCCAAACAATCTGAATTTGAATTGTGTTCATTTGAATTATTGACAATTGTAATATAATTAATCTGAATTTTTATATGCTGTAAAAAGTGTTTTGAATTTGATTCTTGTCTACTTTTCCCTGTTGATCACCCCTGAACTACTTTCTCCTGAATCTGAATTTCACAATCTGAGTTTCTGGTTTTGAATTTTAGGATATTGAATTTGATATTCTGAATTTCTTCATCTTCAAAAATTTAAAACAGAGTTCTTACAAACTGGATATCTGCAGTCTATGAATTCAGAACAGAAAAAATCTGAAGTTTGAAAATACATCGATAAATAAAATTCAGCCATGGAAAATTCAACTGTCTTAAATTTCAGATGTTCAATATTCAAATTATGCACTTCAAATTCGAATTAAGAAATTCAAATAAAATTTTTTTTATATAATATCATCACTTCAACTTAAATAATAAGTTCACAGTACTTATATAGATTAACTCAAATGGTTTGTAGCAATCGGTTTCCTCAAACGGTTTGAGTTACCTTAACTTATTGGGTTTACAGTACTCAGTTGATTTGAGTTCTCTTCATTTATTGGATTTTATAGTGCTCAAATTGCTTCATTTACTCAAACAGATTAAGTTTACAGTACTCACTAGGGTTAGCTTTTGAACTTAAATGGCTTGTTGCAATCGGTTTCCTCAAATAGCTTGAGTTACTTTTGGGGTTTTACCAACACAATCTCACAGCAATTCGTAACTTTTTGATTTAGTGGCTAATTCGTATGAATTTGTACAATCAAATTAGTAAAATTTAGAATGATTTGCTCATCACCCAATGACGGTTGGGGTTAGGGGTGGGGTTGGGTGCCACGCCTCCTTTTTAAAATCGTACATTTTAGAACGACTGAACTCTAACAAATTAGCCAATAAACTGACAAAATGTAAAATACTTATGTTTTCTCGTGAGATTAGGCTGGTTTTACAGTGTATTTATTCATGTTAGTTAACGTTAGTTAATGAAAATACAGTTGTTAATTGTTAGTTCATGTTAACTCAAGGTGCGTAATGTTTACAAGCATGAATTTGGATGCAAATAAAGCATTAGTAATGGTTGCACTATGATTAATAAATGCTGTACAAGTATTATTCATAATTAGTCCGTTAGTAAATTCATTAACTAACTAATGAAACCTTATTGTAAATATATTTAAACACAAAGATGAAACTTATATAATAAAAATAGCCTTTCTAAGATAGAAATCACGCTAAATTAAATGTACAATCACAATACTTTATTAAAAAACATTCAATGTATACAAGGAGACACACACAAACATACACGCACACACACATTTACAGGTCAGCAATGCAGTTCACAGATTATATTCGAGTAAAACATCAAAAGTAGAAATATATTTGCGCAAATAAAGTATAAAACAGATTCTTTATGGATAACAGAGAACGAAAGAGCAAACATTCACAGTTTTATATACATTCATGATGTTCTAATACAACGAACAGAAGCAAAACATACAAAAAAAAGTCCATTATGAACTGCTACATGAAGATAGTAATGATGCAAAAATATATGTATATCTCAGCAGGATTGATATAAACATGACATTAATGTGTGATATTAACATACGTTTGTGCATTAAATCAAACGATTAAACAAAGCTGTTTCTACATAGCTCTTTTGTTTTTCTCATCCAGCTCCTTTATTATCGCCTGGACCCAGTCACTTCTTGGATCGGCGCAGACTGACTTTGGTTTTAACTGTTTTTTGAGCCTCATCTTGAAACTGTTTGGAGACCAGAAAAGAACATTTGAAAAAGACCTAAATATCTCTTGTAAGAGTTTCTGTGAAATGCTGCATGCGGGAGCCAAGTGTTGCTGTGATTGTTTTAGATTTGCACGATATTAAGGCATACTCACACAACAGCGGGAATGTTGCATCCTCCGTCTGTTAGCTGCACTCTGTAACTCATAATATTTCTTCTCATGTTTTTCTTGATGCCTGTGACATATTTCAAACAACAGTTTTCATAGTAACCTGAGAAGAAAGCAAAAGTGTGATCAGTCATTTGCCTGTGGGCACACACATACACGCACGCATGCACACACACAAATAATAATAAACATAAGAATGATAAAAAAATTTGATTATAAAAAAAATAAAAACATTTAGTTGTAAATAAATATTTAAATTCAATGCAAGCAAGGCAATCAGCAATTGTTACCTACAGTTGAAGTCAGAATTATTAGCCCCCCTGAATTATTAGCCCCTCTGTTTATTTTTTCCCCTAATTTCTGTTTAACGGAGAGCAGATTTTTTTCAACACATTTCTAAACATAAACTCTTGTCTAATAACTGATTTATTTTATCTTTGCCATGATGACAGTAAATAACATTTGACTAGATGTTTTTCAAGACACTTCTATACAGCTTAAAGTGACATTTAAAGGCTTAACTAGGTTAATTAAGTTTACTAGGCAGGTTAGGGGAATTAGGTAAGTTATTGTATAATGATGGTTTGTTCTGTAGACTATTGAAAAAAAAGCTTCAAGGGGGTAATAATTTTGTCCTTAAAATAGCTTTTAAAAAATTAAAAACTGCTTTTATTCTAACCGAAATAAAACATATAAGACTTTCTCCAGAAGAAAAAATATTATCAGACATACTGTAAAAATTTCTTTGCTCTGTTAAACATCATTTAGGAAATATTCTAAAATGAAAAAAAATAAATTCAAAGGGGGGCTAATAATCCGGACTTCAGCTGTAATTCCCATCATATTTTCTTCAAATATTTTTAATATTATTGTAATTTTAATTTAGATACTATTATAACCAATATATATTGTTTTTTTTATATACTGAAGACATTTAAATATATAAAAAAGTATGCAAATGTATACAAAATGTTAATATTATAAGCAAAAATACATAATATTACATTTCCTTCAGCTTTATAGTACCATTATTCATCAGGGGTCGCCACAGCGGAATGAACCGCCAACTTATCCAACATGCACACACATACACTGTGGCTAATTTAGGCTATCCGATTCACCTATATCAGTATACTGTGGGGGAATCCGGAGCACCCGAAGGAAACCCACACTGAAAACCCTAAGTTGACTAAACTAAATTAATTGAGTAAATCGTTGCCTCAATTAAATTGAGTAACGGAGTCTCCCAAAATTTGCATCTTTAAGTTTATTTAACTTGCAGGTTTGTTAAATTTATACTGAAATTGTTCAGTTTAGTGTGTGTGTGTGTGTGTGTTTGTGTGTGTAATTACACTATAAAAAAATGTTTAAAAGAAAAATAAGTAGCCATTTATTACCATTATGGTGAATAATTATACATGAAGCCTTGTTTTCTGATTAAAAAAAGACCTTGCACTAAAAGTTTGCACATATTAGAATTTTACAGTCAAGACTACATTAAAAACAACCTATTTTTTCAAAGGATTAAATATGATTTTGAGCTATTTAAGTTTATGCATTTTCACTGTACAGTATATAAGTTAAATTAACTCATATTTTTAAGTGACGGGACTAAAATGCTAAATTTGAGGTAATGTTTAGTCAACTTTACTTGAGTGTTTAAGTAACAGTGCACGCGAACACAGGGAGAACATGGAAACTCCACACAGAAATGCCAACTGACCCCCGCCGGATCTCAAACCAGCAACCTTCTTGCTGTGAGGCAACAGTGCTAACCACTGAGCCACCGTGCTGCACTATTGGAGTTCATTTTACTTTAAATTCAATACAAACTTGACAATCAGCAATTGTTACCTATTTCTCATCATTCTTTCTTCAAAGATTATTATTAATGTTATATTGATTTTAAAACTAGTATAACCATAATATATTGCTTTTAGAAACTGATTTTTCAATACACAAAAAGGTATGCAAATGGATACCAAATTAAAATATTATTTGCAAAAATGCATTCTTTAATTTTCTTCAACTTATCCAGCATATGTTGTATGCAGCGGATGCCCCTCCAGCTGCAACCCAGCACTGGGAAACATCCATACACACCCATTCATACATATACGGCCAATTTAGTTTATTCTATTCACCAACAGCGCATGTCTTTGGACTGTGGGGGAAACCGGAGCATCTGGAGGAAATGCATTATGAATACTATTATAACCAAAATATATTATAATAGACATTTCAATACATAAAAAAGTATGCAAATGTATACAAAATGTAAATATTTTATGCAAAAATACATTATGGCCATAAAAAATAGATACAGTCTGAAGAATTATTAGCCCCCCTTTTATTTTTTTTTTTATATTTTACAAATTACGTTTACCAGAGTAAGGAAATTTTCACAGTATGTCTTATAATATTTTTTTCTTCTGGAAAAAGTCTTATTTAATTTATTTTGGGTAGAATAAAAGTAGTTTTTAATTAAAAAAAAAAAAAAACATTTTAAGGTCAGTATTATTAGCCCCTTTATACAACAACTTGCCTAATCACCCTAACCTGCCTAGTTAACCTATTTACCCTAGTTACGCCTTTAAATGTCACAATATTATGTACTGTCATCATGGCAAAGATAAAATAAATCAGTTTTTAGAAATGAGTTATTAAAACTATTATGTTTAGCAATATGTTGAAAAAAATATTCTCTCTGTTAAACAGAAATTGGGGGAAAAAATAAACAGGGAGGCTAAAAACAAATCATATCTTATTATAAAAAAATGTAAAATATTTTATGCATGAAGAATGTGATGTCCTTTAAAGGAGAGTTCACCCCCAAATTAATTGTTTCCAAGTGGTTCCAAACCAGTATGAGCTAAGCAAAATAAAATAATGTTAAAAACCTGTAAACACTGACGTCTATAGAATTTGTTTTTCCTAATACAGAAGTCAATAGTTGCAGGTTTTTAAAAATATTTTAATAAAGATTTTATTTGCAGGTTGATTTATTTGTATTTACAGGTTGCCAGCATTATATTTCTATAGCAAACAGAATAAAGAAACTCAAACAGGTTTGCAACAAGTGAAGATCGAGCAAATAACTTCCATTTCTTAAACCTTAAACCTTACCTTGTGCGATGCTGGGATACATGCAAGCCAACAGCAGGAGCAAAGCCAGAATTTGAAACTTCATGGTTGAACTCTGCGTTTCCATACAAGCTGCAAGCAAACACAAGCAAGCGTTTTCATTTCATCGTCTGCATCCATCAATAATAAACGTGCTGAATAATGTCTTTACCTCAGAGGTTCTGGGAAGAATGATGTTTTTCTTCAGGGCTAAAGCTGCTCTTATCTCCTCCTCTGCTGCGTTTACACTTTTTATAGCTACAAAACCTGAAACTCAGACACGCCCACATCACATCTCGCCAAGATTTTACATTAGTTGTGTTGGGCTATGTTAATAAAGCAAGTCCTCCTGATTGGCTTTCATTGTTATTTTGATGAAACCCAATTGACTTGCGATTTCGGGAACAGAAACATGATTCCTTATCTGTAATATCTCAGACCTCTATGTTTGGTCAGCAGAGAGATGTTGCAGTGTGAAGGATTAAACACTGGGAGTCTGGAGGTTTTTTTTTTTTTAACAGCCCCCATTGCTCACCCCTGCTATTATTGCACAACACAACATCTTTGCCAAATCCTTTTCCCTCTTAAACATCTGCTTTAGGACATTTTATGATCTGTGTGCCAATCTAAACTCTGAAAAAAAAAAACTATATGAATTGTTATATTGTGCAACGAGATTTCCCTAAATTTATCATGGTTTTCAAGTTCTAGTGTACGTTATATAACAGATATGGGGATGTCTCTGATGGGTGTCTTTACATTTATTATTTAGCAGATGCTTTTGAGTAAGGCACCTTAATACCCCAAGTGATTCATCATCATTGAGAGGCAAATAAATCACAAGAAGTGCTATAATATAAAGTTCAAGATGCTGAAATACAACGTAAAAGATATTGAGAGGGATTAACAAAAAGTCTAAAGGCTTGAGGAATTTCTGTGTTGATTTTTTCTGTTGTGTTGTATTATTTATTCGTAATATATAGTTAAGTGCTCACACAGTTTATACGTTTTTAATTATTTCTTGAATATTATCAGGGATTTGGCGTTGTGAATAGGGTTGGGAAGACTATTTCAACAGCAAAGAATGCAAACTGAAGATGTCCTAAGTGATTTTATCCCTGTTTTTGATTATTCTAGCACTGATTCTTTAGATTTATTCACATTTTTTAAGGTAAGCAGTTGCAAACAGTTTATATGGGCTGAATTTACACAAACAAGTTAAGTTGAACATTATCTAATTGAACTTGTTTGTCTAAATTCAGCCCACATAAATTGTTTGCAACTTCTTACCTTAAAAAGTAGAGTAAATCAAATAAATAAAAAAGGGTCCTACTTTATATTAATTGGCCTTAACTAATATGTACTTACACAGGAATTATTAGTGTGTTACAATGTACTTATTACAATGTACAATGTTACTTATTGTGTAAATACATGTATTTATTGTGTACTTATGCTTGTTTAAATACCTGTATGTAATTACATCTGTAAATAACTTGTGTAATTACATTTGTAAATACACTGCTGACCATTCCCTACACCTTAACCCACCATTAAACCTACCCATACCACCAAACCTGTCCATAACCCAACCTCTATCCCAACTCAAGAGCACCACAAGTGTTTTCAAATACATTATGAACACAGTAAGTACATTGTATTTATTTTTGATGCAACTACATAGTAGTTAAGGACACTTAATATAAAGTGGGACCAAAAAAAGATACATAAAACATATTTGAAGTCAGAATTATTAGCCCCCATTGAATTTTTTTTCTTATTTAAATATTTCCCAAATGATGTTTAACAGAGTAAAGTAAGCAGGCAGGTGGGTCAATCAGTAAAATTGGTTGGGTTTAGGAAAGGAGGATGATGGGTCGGTCGATTGGCAGGTCACCCAGTCAATCATTCAGTCCATCTGCAATCATTCAGTAATCATTCAGCAGCCTCTGGTGGGTTCACGCGAGAACATCGTGGGCGGAAACGAGAGGCATTTGAGATGCGAAAAAGCGCATCAGGCGGCCTCCCGAGGATTTGCTAAAAACAAAAACTGCAAAAATACGTACCTCCCGAGACATATTTCGCTGTCTCCAGAAACGTCCACGAGACTACGTTTTCAGAATGAGCCTGGGTTGCAAACATTTCATGTGACTCTCAGTGGTTTAATTGTAATCATACAAAGCTCCAAAACACTTTTGTGCATACAATAATAAAAAAAAAAAACTAAATTCAGCTCTGTTTACCTACATGGGCAGTACAAGGTGTTGTCCTTTGAGCAGTACAAGGTATTGCCATTAAAGTCAGCAGCGCAACATGCAAGCGTTGCAAACACACACTTGATGTGGAAGATATCAGCAAGCAAATATATTTTTACAGTCAAGTGGGTTTTATGGTTTCTGTTCTGGACTTTGAACGTCTCATGAGTGCTGACTATGGAGGATAAGGGAGCTCTCGAATTTTGTTTTAAAATATATTAATTTATAATGAACAAAGATGAACGAATGTCTCAGGTTATCGGAACAACATAAGAGCGAGTAATTAATAACAGAATTGAAAATTTTGGGTTGAACTAACCCTTTAACCTATCAGGAACTCATCAATCTCAAGTAACTGCAGGCTACTTTGAATCTCCAGAAGTACAAGGTATCAGATTCTCCAACACTTTACTAAAGTAAATAACGCTGAAATAATACCCCCACTTAGTAAGAATCACAAGCTGTCATAGTTAAAGACTGTTTTCAAGACACATTGAGAATGACTCTTAAGAATCTGGCTCAAGTTCAAATCAGACACAACAAAGTGGTGAGGAAATCATGCTGTCAGCAGATACCAACAATGAGCAACACCAAGCTATCAGTGTAGGAGATGGGCTTGAAATGAACTTTCAGAATTACTTACTGCCATATTCTGGTAGTACAAGAAGCAGTACAAGAAGAAGAACAAGTCTGATTCTTTCACCTCAAAATAAACAATTTAAAAAATCTATCTATCTATTTTACGATACTTGAGCTTATGTTTCATAATTTGGAATCTTAGGTGGGTGATGGTGTTTCAGAGTGTATTTTTAAGGCTTGGTTGTGTTTATAAATTGCAAACAAATGTGTGCTTGTGCTTCATTTGTAAAACCATCAAGTTATTTTTTCATTCATCTTACTTTGATTATATACAGCTACATGAAAACGACAATCATATTTCCAAGTTCTTCTGAAAGCTCGCCCTAAAGAGGCTCTGATTAGTCAGCTAACATAATGTGCTGTGTTTCGCAGACAAGCTCCACGTCACCAGGAAGTGTCACATCCAGTCACAAGCACACGCTTTGCATCAGCTGTGTAAATACTGTCATTCAGTGTACAATTTTGCGATTAAATCAGCCTGATCTCACGAGGAAACGTAAGTATTTTACGTTTTTTTTTATTTAGTGGCTAATTCATACGAATTCATCCAAGTTCAGTCATATGAAAATGTATGATTTTAAAAAGGAGGCATGGCACCCAACCCCATCCGTCATTGGGTGATGAGCAAATCGTACTAAATTGTACGAATTAGATCGTACGAATTTATACGAATTAGCCACTAAATCAAAAAGTTGCGAATTGCCGTGAGATTGCGTTGGATTAAAAATGTATATATATTCATTTATTCATTTTCTTTTCGGCTTAGTTCCTTTGTTAATCAGGGGTTGCCACAACAAAATGAACCACCAATTTATCCAGCACGTTATACACAGCAGATGCCCTTCCAGCTGCAACCCATCACTGGGGAACACCCATACATTTTCATTCACACACATACACTACGGACAATTTTAGCTTACCCAATTCACCTATATCGCATGTCTTCGGACATGTGAGGGAAAATGGCGCACCCGGAGGAAACCCACGCGAACATGGGGAGAACATGCAAACTCCACACAGGAATGCCAACTGACTTAACCGGGGCTCGAACCAGTGGTCTTCTTGCGGTGAGGCGATCGTGGTCCTTACTGTGCTGCTGTGACCCCCCTGCCCTGTATTGTTCATTTAAAATTCGTACCGCTTGCTTTATAATTCGTGCTTTCCAGAAATGCAAATGGGGGTACATTCACAACAAGCCTGTGTTGCATTAAGGCAAGTGAAAACACTGTATGGGAGGGGAGGCTGTGTCCTGAATTGAACATGTGAACCTGACCTGAATTATTTGAACCGACCTGCTGAATTTTGGAAGCAGATTTAAAGAAGACAAAGATGTCATCGCTTCTGTGACAGATACAAAACAGCCTGTGATCTGGTGCTGGTCTTTGGCAGCGAGACTGACAACAGTTCATTGAGTGCCAATTTCTCAGTTGTGCTGCATTTAGGGGAATTCCATTTCTAAAAAACAACTTAGACATTTGACCATGAGAATTCTTACTTTTTACAGTCATTTGCAGGCTGTTGACCTCCTAATCTTAAGGTCTGCAGAAAAGAAAGTGTTGTACATGAATTTTACTTCCAGTTTTAAGTTGAGGGTAATATAGTCAGGGATTGAAATTTTAAAATACAATACCAAATACCTCAGTTATACAAGTATCAAAATAAACCACAAAATACAGCAGCCACAACATGTATCAAAATAAAATACTGTATTTTGTATTTTGAAATTACTGTAAAATACTTTTACAAGGGAGCATGACATTTCTTTGCAAACCTTCCATCAACAGGCTTCTTTGATCAATCCTGATCAAATAAATGAAATAAAGAAAAATAAATAAATAAAGAAATAAATAAAAAATAAAACAAAAAAAAAATAATAAAAGAATTAAAAGAATAAAATAAATTAAATTAAGCAAAACAAATAAAATAAAGTTAAATAAAAAACATTTAATAAAATAAAAAACTAAATAAAATAAATGAAATAAAGCAAAACAAACAAAACAAATAAAATAATACAGTTTAATAAAATAAAGGAAATAAAGCAAAACAAATTTAAAAAATAAAATAAATAAATAAAATAAATGAAATAAAGCAAAACAAACAAAACAAATAAAATAAATACAATTCAATAAATAAATGAAATAAAGCAAAACAAAATCAAATAAACAAAAACAATGAATTAAATAAAATAAAAAATAAAATGAAACAAAGCAAAACAAACTAAACAAACAAAATAAATATGCTTTAATAAAATAAATTAAATAAAGCAAAACAAACAAAATCAAATAAAAAAATAATAATAAAATAAAATAAATGAAAAAATAAATAAATAAAATGATCTCTTT